GTGGTGGAGGCCATCGCTACTAGGGTGGTGGAGGCCATCGCTACTAGTTGTCAAGACTTTTTGTTGGGTCCTGGGACCAAAGCAGTGTCTAAAATATTTGTTTTTTGGTGGTACTCCCAAATACCCTTGGCGAACTAACCAAAAAAGATGTGATTTCTACAACAAGCCATTCAGCCAGCAAAATACTCATCCACATCAAGCGGCTCTCCCCCAAGTCAACGCCCGACATCCAACTGGGAAGGCTCAAGTAGATGAACTCCTTGGCAGGCAGTGGTCTAGGTCAAGGCAGTGCCACAAATACCTTTGTCTCGTGGCCTTTGATCCGTGGATTTAAAGCCCAAAACCATGGTTTCTGAGCCTGACTGATTGTGTTGCTGCCCAGTGGGCATGCAGGCAATCCCCTACAGAATCTTTACCAGGAAAGCTCCAGCATCAAGAAGTCTCAAGTCTCATGTTGAACTCAGAATTTGCGACAGGGATCCAAAGGATTGTTTCATTCATTAGGTCAAGTGGTTTGCATGAATCTCCATGGCTACACTTCACCAGCAGGCCGGCTTGTGATTTCAGCTACAAGCAGTTGTGAAAAATGCTACAGTGGAGTCGCATGACATGCAGGAGCCAGTGCGGTAGCAATTCTACCGGTTAAAAACAATTGTAAGCTTTGCTGCTGCTGCTGCTGGTGTGGTTAACCTTGGTTGTTGATTTGCTTTTTGTTCAGTCGCTGGCTTTCGCTGTTCCACTGTTGAATCACCCCTTCGCTCTCGCACCCTTGCACCTCCGCTCAAGGCACCGAGTTGCCAAAGAAACCTGTCTCCGACGAAGGCCGGGCATCTGGCCCTGGGAACGCGAAGGGAGTCCCCACAATGTGGTTTTAGTTTTGGCGTGCTCTAGATGCTTGAAACCCCTGAGAAGCTAGACGTGACTTGGGGTCATTGCCAAGCGCCTAGAGGTGGGATTTAGCGGAGGATAGCCACCAGGCTGTAATCCACAAGCCATCCCACAGGTAGTTCTGGAAAGCATTCTGCAAGGTGCGCGAAGCACCTGGCATCAATTGCAAGCACTTGAGATCACTGCATGATTTAGGACGAGCGTGAAATTGAAGGTGAGCCTTTTTTTCCGGGGGGAACCCACTGCAAACCATTTTTGCCCAGTGCTATGTCGGCCAATGCTCACGGAATTGAAAACCTATTACTGACCATGACATGGAATCATAGGAGCTGCCACTTCTTGCTGTATTTTCATTGTTGCCACTTCTTGTTGCCACCCTGTGATGCAACTTTTTGTTGCCACTTGTTGATGCCACTGCTTGTGGCCCCTTCTTGTTGTTGCTTGTTGTGGCCACTTATTGTTGCAACTTGTTCTATCCGCTTGTTGTGACCACATCTTGATGCCACTTGTTATGTCCGCTTCTTGCAGCCACTTCTTGTTGTCAATTGTTGCAGCCGCTTCTGGTTGCCACTTGTTGTCGCCACTGGCTGTAGCGATATTTCGTTGCCACTTGTTGTAGCCACTTCTTGTTGTTCCCTCTTTCAGCCACTTCTTACTGCCGGCCTGTGTGTGTGTCATTTTGTTTTGCATGCTATTGCAACGCTATGATTCCAATGTTGAATTGCTACATTCATCAGCTTCCTGCTCTTAGCTATTCCTCGCACTTCGTTGCATCGCAGAAAACCTGACAGCAGAGCAATGGTGGTGGAGACAATGCTCAGCTTTGTGCAGCTGTGCTGCCAAAGTGCAGTACTTCTGCACATGCGCTTAGCATTCCAGAAGTTTGAAGCCGCTGCTGACTTCCTGCTTCTCAATGAGCCGCCATCCCAAGCCCCAACGAAGCCTTCCTTGGGCAAGGCTGCTATGGGAAGGTTTTTAAACTTCGGCGCCATTTTGGTTGCATCGCAGCAGAAACATGTGAACTTTCATTGCCAATATCATTCAATGTCTGCCAGCGCCAGCGCCTATGAACATTCTTCCACGTTATATGTGTCCATGTGCATGCGCATGTTGCTCCAATCCCTTTGATCTTGAGAAGTAGTCTCGCGTAAAATGCTTGCTTGCAAGCTTTGAAGTGGAGGATGTCTCGCAGAGAATCCTTGCTTTCAAGGAGTCACTTCAAGAATCAACACCATGTCCTACATTACAGGCTAGATCCTTTTTCTTTTTGAAACTTTTGTGCGGCTCTGGTGGAACGTGTCATATGGCTGGCGTCACATGATGTCTAAGACGGCAAGAGCCGAGGTGAGGGAGAGCCGGCGGTGGTGGCTATCAAGGTGCCCCGGACAGATGGGCCCTTGGCAGGACAGAACGGGCAGATCCTCCTTGAGGAATGTCGCCGTGCCTCCCGCTTAAGCGCCTCGGCCGCATGGTTGTCAAGCTAAGCCAAAACTGCTGCAAAGCGTTTAAAGCGGCCCCCACATGGAGGACATTGCAGGACTATTGGAAGCTGATGTGAAAACTGCAGGAATGAATCAGCAACGCCAAGCCTCCTACTCAAGTGCTCTCAAAGCTCTGAAAGCTAAGGCCACCACGTGGTCCAGACCTTCGGGTCAGTTGGTAATATAACTTTCGACCAGCTAGCACTTGTGCTTATGTTTCTTCAAGTCCCTATGGTTCCCTTCTGACCGTAGAACTCTGACTTGAGAACTGTCCAGCACTTCACATGTCTGAGTTCAAGAGAGCTTGTGCTCTTCGTTCCTTGGATGTTATGACGGCTCTGTCTTTGGAACTCATACTTCGCCTTGGTAGGATGACAGGCCATGACAGGCCGAACATGTCCAAGCGTGGCAATGTGTTGAAGACTTGTTTTGGGCTTCTCTTGAGATTGCGATGATGTTCTTTGTGACCTGATTCGCTGCAACAGCTTGAATACGTAAAGTTTGCTGACATCTAACTGCCCCACGAGGTGGCTTGTTGATCATGCTTCATGCAGACTGAAATAACTTGCGCTGAGGCCACGGCCACGTTGTCAAGCCGATTGAGTCGATCGGATCAATGACTCTGTCCCAACTTGTTGAGGGTGATCCGTCGAATCATGCAGCCACTGGACTCACACCACGCAGCCGCTGCAAGGTCAGGTGACTAAAACGGACAGAAGGACATCCCATATTGATCCATAATATTGTTCATTCATGCTCTTTTGGATGTTTTTTGGTGCTCTTCCCAGGTGGCTTGGCATTTTTTGTTTGTCCTGCCATTGTCCTGCCTATCGCGACTCTGTTTGTTTCATGGCAACACCCTGGAGCGCCTTCGTTTGGCAGGTTGCAATGCAGCTGGTGGACGCTATCACTTACCTCACACGGATGCGCCCTTCATGCCGTTGATGTCGTGGTAGATTGCAGCCAACCCTTTCGACCATGGCTGACGTTGCTGGATGTATTCATGCAGCCCTGCCAGAGGATCGGCCTGACAGTGATCACAAACTTTTGATATTTAGTTTACTCTTTTCCGTGCAACATCAAAGTCGAGATAAAACGGTTTTTGGTAACATATAGCCGCACGAGGCGGCGACGGAAGTTTCGAAGATAATCACTCTATAGGAGGTGGAGGGCGGCTCCGCCGCAAGAAGCGCTACGCGAAGAGTTCATGTCTTACCTTGCAGGCTTCGGCAAAGCCACATGGAATGGCGTCATCAGACCCCGATGAAAAGACACAGCGAAATCTGTCATGCAATGATCAGGCTGCAGTCTCCAGTCGCAGAGTGTGTGGCGTTTTGCTATCGAGAGCATAAAAATGATGCTGATTAAAATGATGACAACGACCACATCGACGAAGACCATGACTGTGACGCTGATGGTGGAGCTTGCGCTGCCGATGGGGCGGATCATGATCATGATGATGGTAACGCAAACGATGATGAAAGGCAAGCTGATGGGACGGTAAAGATGATGATGAATGATGATGATGATGGATGGATGATAAATGATAAATGATGATGATTTATGATGATGATGATGAGTTATATGGAGATGATTGATGATGGATGATGATGATGGATGATGATGATGATGATGATGATGATGATGTATATGGAGATGATTGATGATGACGATGATGATGATGAGGAGGAGGAGGAGGAGGATGTGTGTGGTGATGATGATGATGATGAGGAGGAGGAGGAGGATGATCAGCATTATTATTGTTATTGTTGTTATTGTTTTTGTTTTATTATTGTTATTGCCAAACTTAAAAGCTAGTGCTTGGATGTGCTTGGTGGGAAATGCCCTCCACCTTCCGACCCTCGTGTTACTTGGCAATGTTCACTTCGCGCCTGCTACGAATCTGTACCTCCAAGATCATCAAATACTGTGCTTGTCACGGAAAAATGCACGGTAGTATTGAGCAACCTTCACTTTGCATTGCAACAAACTGCCACGAATCTGTACCTCCAAGATCACCAAATGCTGCGCCTTTCACGAAAAAGGATTGCTAGCGCTTAGCAACGTTCACTTTGTCGCGCACCTGCCACGAAAGTTGTACCTCAAAGCTCACCAAATACTGCGCCTGCTACGAAAAGTAAACGCCACCGTTGTCCTCAGAATTCCCAGGCAAAGATTCCACCTCCGTTAGTACCATGGCCCGCGCCCTGCGCCTGCCACGAAAAAGTGACTTCGACGTTACAAAGTGCTATACGCCTGTTCACGCGAAACGAACCGAGCATGCTCCGCACCCGCCACGACACTTCGCGCAAACAGGGTAGCTTTCACGCACGCTTCAACGCACTTTACTTGAGAAAACAAAACGTTTCGCGAGATTTTTACCAAAACCTTAACGTTTTTCTTTCTCTTTGTGACTCTGCCTTGACATTCTCTTTGCGTGATGTTTGACTTACTTTATTTTTCAACTTGCTTGACATTCCGACTGAGACGACTATTCCTCTTGCTCTATGCTACTGTCCGTAACTCGGAAGTTTCTTCATTAAACTTCCTTTGACAATTCATTGGATTGACTTGTTTGGAAAGGCAAAGTTGCCGGCTGAGGAACTCAGGGTGCATGTGGTCGCTCCCACTTGAGTTGCGAGAAGGAGGACCCCAGCGCTTGCAACTCTGAAGCATGTTGAACTGTGAATTTGAAGCGCTTTGAACTGTGTGAATTGGCTCGTTAAAAGAACTGGTCAAGCTGCGCAACTGGCGCAACCTTGCGAGGCAGCGACTCGACACCATGAACAATCCAGCTCATCGTGTGAACTTCTTTGGCTGCGGGCTTTTCCTTTGGTCCTTGATCTTCGTGCAGGTTCATGTTGAGCTGGTGGAGCAAGGGCCTCCAATGCGCTGGATGAAACAGCTGCTCAAAGAAGCATCATCCGCAAATTTGCAGGCAGCATTGCAAGAGGTCCTGGGGCAGCTTGGCAATGGACTGCTGCCGCTGCCTCCTGCAATGCCGCCGCCCCCTCCACCAGGCCCCCCCCCCACCACCTCCCCTTGATCCCTAAAATTCTGGCATCGTGTCAACGGCGTTTCCGTTTCTTTGTGTCAAACATATGTTTTTATTCAACACTTGGCAATCCTTCCAGAACGTGAAGCCTTGCATTTTACAGACGGTATAGCCGTACAGCACACATGCAACAGCCAGCGCAAAACAAATAGGGTTGTTATTCAACGCCGCACAGTGCCTCACAGAAGCGCGCCCGTTGGGAGCAAAGAAACAGAGAGAGGGGCGGAGGTGCCTGGCTGGAAAAAAGAGATGATGATGCCGTTGGTGCTTGTTGTATGGGCTTTGCTATCAGCCATTGGCCCTGTTCAAGTAAGTCTCCTTGTTTTTCTCCTTGATCGTTGTGGGCCACCACTTTTGGATGCGTTTTTGCTATCAAGCCATTCATGACAACGCCACCGGTGAAAATCGAGGCGTCTGATATGCCGATTCAACCTGCAGAACGATGGCTGATGTATGGACGGACCACTCTTGTGATGTTTCATTTGGGATCATAGAATCCAACTTCATGTTCGCATAGGATTGGTCATAGGTAGCCATTGTGGCCATTCACAAGGAGGGCTCTCTGGAGGTTGATGTCTTAAGCGCGTTTGACTTCTCAAAGGATCTCAAAGGCACCCACAGCCCCACAGCCCATAGCTGCTTGTGTTCGGTGACCTGCCCCACTTGCTCCCTTGCACCATGCTGCAGGCTGGTGCCATCGGCTGGCCATGGTCGTGGCTCACTGGGTGCTGAGTGGTGCTTTGGGAAGACGGAGCTTCACCTGCCAACAAGTTGCACGGGTTCACTACCTCGGTAGAGGACAGCTTCAACAGATGGCTGGGTTTGGAAGTTGGCCGATTTGCGCCATCTCCAAACACATGGCTAATCATGGCCGGTCCCTGGAACAGATGGAGTCGTCATGTTCCGACATTGAGATGGCTCTTGTAGGCACGCGCCCAATTTCAAGATATTCACACGCCGTATCCATTTGTTGAAGGGGGAATCATGCCGCCTTGAAGGCAACAGCAACAGCCAGGTTTAAGGGGCTACGGTTTCGGGGAGCTCGATGAGCTCCGTCCTGCTTAAGATCATTGCAGACCTTGGGCAGTTGCATGGTGAATCTGGAAAATGCACCATTTTCTTGAATCTAGAAGAACCACATGGAAGCTCGGGTGAACTCACTTGGCATCACTTAGTAATGATAAACAATTCCAAAATTCTCTTCGGAAAAACGATCTTTAGATGTTGGATGTTCCATGTACTGTAGTTGTTTGTTGACCAGTGAATGTCATCCGGAAAGCAGAAGGCCTTTTCGTACGTCTTCCCCCACTCAGTGGCCTGGTGTTCTGAAGGAAAATGGTGCAGTAAACTAATTACTTGGTGGAAACGCCTCAATGATCAGGGAGATCTACCATCAGATCTACCATCCTGAACATATACGGTACTCTTGGTTTCTTGGTTGGTTCCTTGAGCCATAACTGCTTCGTGATGGATAGCCACAGGTGGCGCAGGTGGCACACGGATCCTGTGACTTGGAGAAGCTCATTGAGTTGGTTCGTCTCAAAATTTCTTGGACCTCCCTTGCACTTTGAGTGGGAACATGGTGAGAACTTCCATGTGATGACTTTAGGTTCCCAATTCTGAGCCATGCCCGTTGATTTGTTGAGTTGGTCGGTTTTAGTTCAGTGACACAAATCATTTGTTGATAGTGCTATGGAAAAAACACACATCGTACTTTAGTTGGCAGAGTTTTTGAAGACGTTGATTTTTGACGTCCAACAAGCAGGCTTCATGATAGATCCATGGTGGATGGCAAACTCTCTGTAGGAAAGGGTTGTTTCGCCATGCACCGAGGCATTGCTCCCAGATTCAAGCAGCAGGGCCCTTTTTTCCATCATCATGTAGTCGATGATGATGGTGATGATGATGATGATGATGATCATTATGACTCTCATTGTGATTACCTCTAAGATTATGAATTATGATTATGATGATGATGATGATGATGATGATTAGGATGATGATGACGACGATGATGATGATGATGGGGTGGTGGAGGCCATCGCTACTAGGGTGGTGGAGGCCATCGCTTTTAGGGTCGTGGAGGCCATCGCTTTTAGGGTGGTGGAGGCCATCGCTACTAGGGCGGTGGAGGCCATCGCTACTAAGGTGGTGGAGGCCATCGCTTTTAGGGCGGTGGAGGCCATCGCTTTTAGGGCGGTGGAGGCCATCGCTACTAGGGTGGAGGCCATCGCTTTTAGGGCGGTGGAGGCCATCGCTTTTAGGGTGGTGGAGGCCATCGCTACTAGGGTGGTGGAGGCCCTTGCTACTAGGGTGGTGGAGGCCATCGCTACTAGGGCGGTGGAGGCCATCGCTTTTAGGGTGGTGGAGGCCATCGCACTTAGGGTGGTGGAGGCCATCGCTACTAGGGTGGTGGAGGCCATCGCTACTAGGGTGGTGGAGGCCATCGCTACTAGGGTGGTGGAGGCCATAGCTGCTCTCACCTGAGCGAGGCCTCCACCCTCATAGCGATGGCCTCCAACCTAGTAGCAATCCATTCATTCAAATGTAAGAACATAGAAGCATCCGATCGTAAGGCCAGGAGCCCCCAGTAGCTTTTCGTTCCTAGTAGCGATGCCAGGAGCCCCTAGTAGCGATGCCAGGAGCCCCTAGTAGCGTCCTTGCTCCTAGTAGTAATGCCAGGAGCCCCTAGTAGCAATCCATTCATTCAATCTGCCAAGGGATGGATGACAATGAAAAGATGCACATGCATCACAAGCCTGGTACTCAGTTGTTGTTGCTCAAGCCACCTGTAACAACCCCAGTTGTTTTTGCATCAAGAAACATGCTGTTCGTTCATCAAGGTCACATCATTGTTTTCACAACATGATCACTTGCACGGCATTGTCATTTTCACAACATTGTCATTGTTCTTTCTCGCAACATTGTCATCACCACGTCGTTGTCATCGGAGAGACATGTTATTCAAATGAGGTGGGGGTTGCGAGGGACAAAGATTCATGACATCATCATTGAGTGCACAACAATGCCATCATTTTTGAAACACTGTCATCGTTTTGACAGCACTGTCACTGTCATACTTGTCACAGCACCGCACATCGTTGTCATAGTCATCAGTTGTACAATATCATCATTCGTCTTGGAACATGCTTTCTTGACGCTGGCAAAGCTCTCAAGAAGAGTTGACAAGGCAACGGATACATTTTCCCGAATGCGTAGCGAAGGGTTCCCGTTTATAGTTGGGGGCCTGGGGGTTGGAGCTGTGTTTGCATGGCTTGCGTCGTGTCGTCGTCTCTCGTCGTTTGTCGTCGTCGTCGCGTCTCAAATTCGAGGCCATTGGGGGAAGCTTTTGCAAGTGACTTTTCATGGATGTGTCACGTGTCAGTTTGCGCCGCTATTATTACATTGTGATTTGCATGAAAATGACATGTCGCGCAAGAAACGTGATGCATTTCGCTGCACAGGCGCAGCGTTTTGTGAGATCCGCAGTTTTCTGCGCAGTTCCATTGGGATTAGCGTTTGGAGAGTCGTGTTTTTGTGTTGGATGGCCGTGCCATTGGGATTTGCGTTTCAGGGTGTGGCATCAAAGCTCTGTTTTTGTGACAAGTCTCAGCTGAAATGGCGATTTTGGTGGATGGGAGTGTGCTCAGAACGGGTCGAAATCATTCCAAACTTGTGGTGTGGTGCAAATTTTGTTGAAGCTCACATGAGATGATATTGCCCCTTTTCGTGGCAGGCGCAGGGAATCGTGAGGTTGCGAGGTGTGACGGAGGTGACATTTCGTGGCAGGCGCAGTACTTTGTGCGCGTTAGACGTGCGGACGCGGAAAGAGTCGTGCAGGGAATCGTGAGGTTGTGAGTTGTGAGAGTGGTAGAGGTGAATGTCGCTGTCCCCATTGAGATTGGCGTGTGAGCGGGTGTTGTTTGGAGGGGCTGGAATCGCGAAACTGCTTGGCAGGGCTGCGTGACGTGTGTGCTCCGATGGGTGTTTCCGCTTGACTTTTGGAGGAAGTCTCGTACAAAACGCTCGTTTTGCAGACTTTGACATGTGAGGTTTTGAGGATGTCTCGTACGAAACGCTCGTTTTGGAGACTTGACGCGTGACTTTTGGAGGAAGTCTCGTGCGAAACGCTCGTTTTGGAGACTTGACGCGTGACTTTTGGAGGAAGTCTCGTACGAAACGCTCGTCTTGCAGCCTCGACGCGTGCCTTTGTAGAGGTGAATGTCGCTGTCCCCATTGAGATTGGCGTGTGAGCGGGTGTTGTTTGGAGGGGCTGGAATCGCGAAACTGCTTGGCAGGGCTGCGTGACGTGTGTGCTCCGATGGGTGTTTCCGCTTGACTTTTGGAGGAAGTCTCGTACAAAACGCTCGTTTTGCAGACTTTGACATGTGAGTTTTTGAGGATGTCTCGTACGAAACGCTCGTTTTGGAGACATGACGTGTGACTTTTTGAGGAAGTCTCGTACGAAACGCTCGTTGAGTGCCCCACAAGAGTGTCCCGCAACCGTGTCCCACAAGAGTGTCCCACAAGACTGCCCTACAAGAGTGTCCCACAAGAGTGTCCTACAAGAGTGTCCCACAAGAGTGTCCTACAAGAGTGTCCCACAAGAGTTTCCTACAAGAGTGCCCCGCAAGAGTGTCCCACAAGAGTGTCCCACAAGAGTGCCCTACAAGAGTGTCCCAAAAGAGTGTTCCACTAGAGTTTCCTACAAGAGTGTCCTACAAGAGTGTCCTACAAGAGTGCCCCACAAGAGTGACCCACAAGAGTGAGTGTCCCACAAGAGTGAGTGTCCCACAAGAGTGTCCCACAAGAATGTCCTACAAGAGTGTCCCACAAGAGTGACCCACAAAAGTGCCCTACAAGAGTGACCCACAAGAGTTTCCCACAAGAGTGTCCCACAAGAGTGTCCCACAAGAGCGTCCCAGAAGAGTGTCCCACAAGAGTGTCCTATAAGAGTGTCCCAGAAGAGTGTCCCACAAGAGTGTCCAACAAGAGTGTCATTTGGACATATGTAGCTTTTCGAACGTGTTTGCATTCGGGTTCGTGGGCTCCATTTTTTTCGGGGAAAACACGCGTGCCGGAGAATGCGCTCCCCAGAACAAATATAGCTGCGCAACCGGAAACATTGATTGCATTCCAATCCGTACAGATATTAATGCCCAATGGGTTTGAGCAAGGAGCATGTTCCTTCAAGACTGATACAGAGGCCCGACTAAGATCAGCTCTCCTATTGGTTCCCTGTGACACCTTCACAGATCTTGACATCCAACCCGTGGTGTTGGACTCAGATAGGTAGGATTGGGCGGGGCACCGTTGTTGAAGGCAACTTCAGCGCTGTCGCAACACTCCGGAGCGTCCAATCCAATCTAAAGCCTTTTATGGAATTCCCATTCACATCCCTGACAATTGGTTGGTTTTGGAGTCGACGTTGGCCCATTATTTTCTCAGACATGTTCAGGAGTGGGCACAAAGGTTCTTCTCCAACCAATCACCCAATCCAAGACAGCTAAGTAATTCCAAAGCAAAAAGTCCACAACTTTGGTTTTCAAACAAATTCTAGGGACTGGTTGCTGTTAGGGTGGGGGCCATCGCTAGAAGCTTGGAGGCCATTGCTTCTAGGTTGGAAGCTAAGGTTTGTGGTTATCGACGGCGCCACCTTGCTCTCTGGATCCTTAAACTGGACCCATGCAGCTGTCGAACGAGGAGCCAAAAGCAGCTGCGCGAGGGAAGTGAGTCAAGGCCTTGAAAATTGAGTTGATATCCAACCCACATAGCTGGAACATGTTTGCGTCCTCCGAGTGCAAAGTGGACAGTTCTGAGTGAGGATGTGTCATGTTTATGTTCTTAAAATAAGACACCAACACTGAACCACATCCGTCAGGAGTCAGTTGCCCAATGTGGTCACGCAGAGGGAGGTAGAACCTTCCCCCGTCCATGCGTCCATGAAAGATGTATTGGGTGCATGGAAATGAAGCAACCCTAGTAGTAGTACTGTAGTAGAGTAGTAGTAGTAGTAGTAGTAGTAGTCGTAGTCGTAGTGGTAGTCGTAGTGGTAGTCGTAGTAGTAGTAGTAGTAGTTGTTGTTGTTGTAGTAGTAGTAGTAGCAGTAGTAGTAGTAGTAGTGGTAGTAGTAGTAGTAGTAGGCGTAGTAGTAGTAGTCGTAGTGGTAGTGGTAGCAGTAGCAGTAGCAGTAGTCGTAGTGGTCTTTGAGGCAAGACTTCAAAGAGGTTCCATGTGCCACACGCCAGGCAATGAGAATTTGGTTGTTAGCCAGCTGCTTCCTGAGGGACAGAGTGCACTCTCGTGAGAGACTGCTTGCATTCGTACCATCAATCGGAGAAAACAAACTTGTAGCCATTGTATCCTTGCTAGCAACTAGAAGCTACTAGGAACAAAGGGCATCACTACTAGGAGCAAGGACGCTACTAGTAGCTCCTGGCCGTACTACTAGGAACAAGAAGCTATTAAGTGAAGGCCATCGCTACTAGGAACAATAAAGCTTTCGCAACCCACTCCAGAAGTCGCTGGCCAAAGATCTCAGGCATCCGGCGCTTTGTGCGGAGTTTACGCAAGAGTGTGGGCCCCACAGCCTGAGTTTTCGATGAACCACCCAGCCGTTGGAAGAATCTGAAATTTGAAAGCATTTAGGAAGAAATATGCTGGGCAAAACGGCTCGGGCAATCTCTTTAGACATTTAGACATTGGTAGCCTCCGTGATTTGCTCAGTTGATTTTTGGCTTTGAGGTTCAGGCGCTTGTGGCAGCTCTTCAGCGAGAAGAGTGGCCCGTCCACTGCACCTGTGGGCCGCTTTAGTGGGGAGGCAGAAACGCGCGGACTGGGTAGCGATAGCCTCCACTTAGTAGCTTTTTCCCGAGAGCGTTTGTGAAGGGCCCGGTCTGGCGCAACCCTCTGCGGAGATCGCGCACGTCGACTTTGTAGTGCAACTTTAGTACGCGGAGCAATCTGTGGAGCTGGAAGATGAGAACTGGCGACTTTGTAGTACAACTTGAATACGCGGAGTATCTGGCGAGCTGGAAGATGAGAACTGGCGACTTTGTAGTACAACTTTAGTACGCGGATGAGTCATCTCTCGCGGCTGAGTCATCTCTCGCGGCTGCTCTGGCCTGAGTCATGTCTCCCGGCCTCTGAGGTTTACAAATTTTAGCTACTTTGCTTACTCACAAGTGGCTGCCACAAAAGAGTCATCGTGACGTTAGTATGTGTGTACTTCACCTTCATGACAAACGATGTTCGCTTGGAATACACGAGTCGCTTGTCATGATCGTGACGTCGTTTACTCTCAGGTCGCCCTGTTCGTGGAAACTTCAGTGTGAAATGTACGTTCTTCAGTTCTAATTGAACCTCTTCAGCGTTGTACTTGCACAACTAAGGTTGACGTTGCGCTGCCGTTGCATCGACGCATCTACGTCTACACCCCCTCACCTCTCTACATTTACATCTTCACACGCTCACCGCAGATCTACCTCTCTCCACCTCACCACACCCACACATCTGCACATCTATATCACATCTGTACATCCACACTGTCGCTCCTTCACATCTGTCCTGTCTTTCTTTCTTTCTACATATCTTTTCTCTCGTCTCTGTGCATTTACATCTTCGCACGCTCACATCCACAGATCTACCTCTCCACCTCCATGCATCTACAGATCTATATGGCACCTGCACATCCACACTGTCACTCCTTCACATCCACCCTCTCTTTCTCTCTTTCTATACATCTTTTCGACAGTGCTGGACAATTTCATGTCTCGCTCTCGGGCCAACCGTCGTCTAGCTGTTCCTAGTAGTATGGCCAATGCCCTTTGTTCCTAGCAGCAACAATCCATTTCCAACATAGTTGCCATTTGCAGGTTGCGGTGCTGTTTTTCCCAGAGCCAAGCATGACCAATGCAATGGCCCTAGACTGCGTGACAGTGGCATAGGCTCCCCATAATGGCATGCTGCGAGGGGTATTGAGTAACCGCATTGCTTTTGTTTGTTTCTCGCCCGAAGAAGCTAGAGGTTCAAATGACAAATTAGGCTTCTAGTTACTAGAAAGCTTTATTATGACTAAGAAGCTTCAAATACATACTAAAGGCCTTCTTGTTACTGGTGAAACGATTCCCAGGTTCAAATGATTCTTGAAGAGCTCGAGTCCGCACGGCGGAGCATTGAGATTGCCGAGCGGGGCCCAAGTGAGACGTACATGGCACCTGGCATTGGGATGGAGTTCATGGCCGGCCCAAAGCTTCAGAGAGTTTTCTCAATTTTGTTTCCCTGATTTAAACTGGGAAAGGCTCCATTTCTTTGTGTTTTTACATTTTTGAAGCCATGTTTTCTTGGGTGGTGACGGGTGCACAGACATCTGCAAGGCTCCAAATGTACGACGCAAGGTCTTTACCTTGACCTTGGACCTCTTAGTGAATGCCTTGATCAAGAAGCACGAAGCAGGCCAGTGTTTTCAAACCCGTTTTTTTTTACCTTCGTGCCCCTACGCGTTCCCATGAATGACCGCGCTTCTGGCGTTTTCTCGTCTCCTTTGCCGAGTCGCGCACATCGGCAGGTCTGCGAGTTCGGATCATCACGGACAATCGCCAGGTCGCAGCTTCTTTCGCGATGGATGTGCAATTCGAAGCCAGTTTCAAATCTCAGCGACTCAAAAACTAAGTCCGTTTGCCTGGAGGCAGAGGTGCCGGGTGCAGATGCGGCGCGCTTGAGCAAAAGTGGGCTGGAGGTTCGGGTCGACAGGCGGGATGTTCGACGATCGTTCTGCACCAGACACTACGAGGAACGACGGAGGACGCTACTAGGAACAAAGGGCATCGCTACGAGCAAGAAGCTACTAGGGGCTTGTTTTTTCGCGCATGCAGGGGGGGTAGGCCGCTAGTAGCTAGGGTTAGCCAGAAGCTAGGTAGCCAGTAGTTTAAGTAGCTACTACCGACTGGACGCAGGCGCAGGATAGCTCACGCTAATCATTTGCTTCCTAGAGCACCACAACAATAACAAGTCTCACCTTTTTGCCTTCGCGGCCTGCCACTGAATCCCCTGCTGGCCCACTGATGGGCGTAAGCCCCTTAAATCCGACGTTTGTACCAGACCTGTGGGGACAAGGTTGTCACTTTGATGCTTGCGTTTGGGTGCGCGTGGTAGGTCCTGGTATGCCATGCATCACAAGTTTGCATCTTGGCCGCATGCATATACATGACCATGTTTAGCAGCTCTGACCTTTCGGCTTTGAGGCCGTGGTTGATCAGAAGACGATTGTGAATGGATCCTTCAATTGGACAGCCCAGGCGCCACAAATCACAAGCCTTGCTTGTGTGGGGTTTTTGTTTTTAGTGTTCCTCCTCCTCGCTCCTCGCTGCTACCAACCAATTGCCACCCACCAATTGCTGGCAACTTGGTTGGTGACAACATCGCCTGCCATGCAAATCACAGTGGCACAGCGGCATTGGTGAGTAGCAGGGTAGCAATTGGTTGGTGACACTTCGTTGGTACCAACCATTTGTCACCAACCAATTGCCAACCACCAATTGTCCGCTCCTGTGTCTGGTGAAGTTGTTAACATGTGAGGTTATCCGGTCCTATAATTTAACTTTTTTGGCCGCAAGATTCAACGGATAAAAATAAACATAGCCTTGTATCCACAGTAATCACCATGCTGCTTGAGGCTACGAAGGGAAATCAAGAGGACGCCATCATTTTTCGCACTTCGGCATGCATCTATTGAGGGCGGCAATGGCGCGCCACAAAGTGCAATGTTATGCGAATGAAAGGTCGCAGTTTCACATGCTATCCTGGAGCGCATGTTTTCCTTCTTTGAGGCAATTATTCAACCTTGGATCTGCCCTCAGGTTGAACTTGGTTGAGTCGATTGACGCAAACGAAACAAGGTTGTGAATTTGGTTTTTCCTTTCACCAACCGCGAGATTTTTCACAGCCATTGTCAAGCCCATTTGCTCCACGATGAAGTCACAAAAATAGCATGGGTTTGCAGTCAAGGCATCTGAGTTCACTGCTGAGTTTGATCGGCTTTGGAACTCTTTTCAGCCATATCACTAGGGCTAAAGTTGTCCGGCGACACGAGATTGGTTAATTTGCGAAAATCATGCAAAGTGTGGAAAATTTAATAAAATCAACGTAAATATTCAATTCGAGGCTGAAAAATCAAATTACGATCTGTTCAATTTATGTTATTTTTCTTTTGCGAGGTGCCGATTTTTTTCTAAGCCGAAAGGGCGTTCTCTAAAGGCGACAACCCTCATGCTATGTTTTTTTGCTGACTCTTTTATACCCGTCCTTATGAGATTGGGAGCCTTCTTTTGCTACTTTGGATTATTAATTTCTTCTCTTCTTTCGCAGCCAACTTTTATGAGGATGTCGGCTAATATTTGGATCGTGTCTAACTTGTATATAGGTAAGGTAGTCGTTATTAAAGAAGTTATTATTTCCGAAAATACGGATTTGTTTGTCTTGAGGTTCCTTTAGGTTGCTTTTTGTCTTTGTTAAAAATGTTTTTTGTTTGGAGCAAAATTAGGATCGATTTGGAATTTTATATATTGACGTTTTTTTCTTTCTAATATTCTTGGAAATATTTTTGTGCCTATTGGAAAGTTTCTGGAGCTAATAAAAATTGGAAATTAATTATTTTTGATATTATAATCCGAAGTAAATTTTTATATGGGTTGGAAACTATATATTTAATCTAGGTGGTAAGCAAATTACTAAATATTTTCTAATTAAGAAGTTTGAAAAAGATTTTTAAAAGACCATTTATTTTTATAAATCGGTTATGGATGAATTAAAGGATTCTTTAGGAAACAATTACCATTACTTTCTTAATTCGGGACGATAATAGATAAATTATACGTTTTAATAATTACTATATGAATAAATAAATATAAATTACTTGGGTATATAATGAGAAGTAGTAATAATAATTCTATGAAATAAGTATTATTCGTTGATAGCATTGTATTTAAAGTTAATTACGGCATTAAACGAGTTGGGAAATCGAGGCAAAATTGGTTGTATATTATAAAGAAATTTGCATATGAAAATGTTTTAAGGCATTATAATTTCGATGAAAATTCCGATGATATATTTTTATATGTAACCGCATTGAATAGAAATGTTTTATTATCGTTTTTTGGTTATATTAAGGCTTTCGTAATAAATCCGTCCGGATTAGGTCGGCGTGAGGTATGGCTGGAAAAAAGAAATATTATTTAATTTTGAAAAGAAATTATGAACAGATCGTTTTTTTATTGGAATTTTCTAATGATGTTGTTTAATTATTTTTAATTTGAATATTTTATATATAGATAATTATTTTCTTTTTTTAGAAAATTAAAAATATTTTTTTTTTTTTTTATTATTATAATTTAAATAAGGAAAATAGAAATAAATGATTTAAATATTATATTTGATTATCGATGAAGGCCTATTTTAGCTCGAATTCGAATTTTTTTTCTAGATATATTATTATTATGTTGATCGTTGTATTTTCGCTTTCGTAATTTATATTTATCTTGAGATTCTTGGCTTTGCATTTAGGACGTATCGTAATTATGCTCGATTTTTTAATAATAACGATATGGGATTCGAACATTTGAAGAACCTCGTTTTTGAGCGGAAGTGGATTTTTCTAAAGGAAAAATCCTTTATTTTTACGAATCTCCGTGAGGTATGGGTTTCTCATGGTTATGGTTAGATTTACGCCTGGCCGCGTATTGTGCGAATTGAAAGAAAATATAAACGAATTTGATATCGAGTAATTCGACAAGGTTTTGCAGAATATAGAGGTAGGTGCCTCCTAGTTACAGACGTGCTGTGGCGTTTACGGTATGTCGCCAAGAATTGAAGTTGGCTGGTAAATACTACACTTGGCGTACGTTGTATGACCTGGAACGCTTCTCAAATTTTGATTTTTTTTTTTAATGAAAAATTGTTGTTTTGGGTTTCGTCTTAATCGCTTTATATTATAGTTAAACAAAAAAATAGGATGGAAATTCACGATTATCGATTAACATTGCATCCATTGAGTTAGCAAATAGGCATCTATTATATGGTATACATTATCATTACAAAACGGTTTCTGGATATACGAGTGTTCTTGAACCGGATATATGATTTTCTGATTGGACACTAATATATGGAACGTTAACACTATCCTTTATGAACCATATACCCAAAGCTCACTACCTCATAATCCTAGGTGACTTTAATATTGTTTTGAATGCTTAACCGCCTTTCGTAGGATTTGAAGACTCTAGACGTTATTTTAACGTATACACTCACTGACAGCTATCTACTGCAGCAGCTCCTGGGACAATAGCACCTCATCACCCTAAATTGCAAAGGGGATTTCCAACAATTCTTTACCCATAATACTTGTGCTTCTAGAATTGACTGTATTATGATACCATAACCTCAGGCTAATTTCGACGCATACAACCGTTTACGAACACACAATTCGACAGGAACTTCGGCATCGCTGGGCCACACCATCACCCTTTCCTGCGAAATGACTGCCCCTCAAATCGTCCAACATATTTTTTTGCAATCAAACATGGCTTCAATTTGAGGTGTCTGGCAGCAATTGCTTCACGACATGCTACCCACTCCGAGATGACAGCATATTGGATCTTGAAACATGCCTTCGTAAACTGTGCATCTCATTTTGCCAAAAAGACGCCCACGGAGGACCACACCCTTCCAATTCTAATCCATCTCCTCCAGGATGTGGCAGGCACGTGGGTCACTGCGCGCGCTGTTTTTGGATTGGATGTCAATACCAAGACCTTTGACCTTGTGGCTGACCAGGGTCAACCACAGCCGCATCTGGATGCCCTCAGCCAAGATCAAAAACATCTCAAGGCAATTCCAACAGTGAAGCAGCACCATCAGAAAATGCATTGATCTATTCAAAAAGAAAACCATAAAAAGAATGGGGAACCAAGGCACCACAACGATGCAAGGTCCACAGTGATGAGGATGTCCAATAAGGAGATCACCTCTTCTTGCATACGCAGACCAATGCCCCAACGACCACGATGACCAAAACACTTGGATCCCGATCGACAATCATCGTCTGAGACCTACATGTTCCAGACTCCACTGATGATGTGCCCAACCACCGGTTGACAAGCGAAAGAATCACAAGCATCCATCCAATACCACCACCCAGAGCACATCACCTGATGCAAATGAATGGAAATCTGTTGTGAGGGTGCAAATAGCTCCTATTCATTCCCCAGGAATATTGAAGATTCTGTCGGATTTATGTTGGTTTTGGGGCTGTTGATTTGATTCACGAAGATCCTGACTGCGATTGCGGGCACGCTGTTGTTGATTTTTCTGTTTGTTTTCAGAATACAACACAGGCATTAGGTGGAGCAAGCAAAGTGTTCCCACAGATCCAAGCATGCGCAGTTGTATTCATGTAAGTCCTCGAGAGAGATCGGCGCACGCCGAGTGGACTTCATTGACAGGTCCCCAAGGTGACCAAAAACATCGAATTAATCTTAACAATAGCCCAAAACACATGATACAAAGCCGTTTCCAAGGCCAGAATATCATCCAGCGCAAGGGCCTTCATATAGGACCACGCTCTTACTTATGTGGACATCTGCTGGCCAATCAAATGTCTGTCTGTTCCGTGGACGCCAAATCAGCACCTGTCGCAAGAACACTTCCAACAAAAGGACTTGTTACAAAATCTACATTACACAGTGCGCACATCGTGGCAGGACTTCGAAGCCAGCAGGCAAGAGTGCGATTTGTTGCAATTTGCCCGGTGCCCCCACCACCCTTTGCGGAAATCGCTCATGGCGGGAATGCAGGCAAGAGAGCGATTTGTCCGTTGCCGCGCAAACCGTGTGCGGAGTTCCTGTGTGTCGAGCACGCGAAACGCAGGATAGCAATGGCTTCGTGGAGTATGTGGAAGGACAATCAATCTTGAAAACCCTATTCGTAGATCTTCGTAGCATTGAATAACGATATAAACGTTCGCAAATCTTTGTGAACAAATTCCTTCGCAGGGTTTCATAAATAAATCTTAAAATCCAAATGCTTTTCAAATTAAATCATTTTATACAAAAAAAATTATTCATATTTATTAATAAATCAAAATTAAAGAAATATCATCAAATAAATGTCCGATAATTTTAAAAATCGAAGATTTATATAATTTAAATTCCTCAATTAAACCAAAATATATTTTAAATAATTTCCAGCTTAGTGCCATGCCACATGTGCAGGTCCAAGTCCAAGCTGGTGGGCACGCTGTCGGAACTCAGCCCAAAACTGCGAGCTTGCTGTTCGCGGCCCGGATCAAAAGATCTGAGAGCCAAGCACAGGGAAAGAGACGTACAAAAAAAAACACTATATATATGTCAAAAAATGCAAATTATATTACATATGTCAAATTTATTATATATACAATGACTTGCGAATTAGATTGTATATATAGTTATTTATATATATATATTAAATATATAAATTTTATTCTAATTTCTTGAAAAAAATATATATGTACAAATTAAAATATATATTTTTTTATATATATATATCCAAAAAAATATTCCAAAATACATATTTCAATTTGTATTTAGCAAATATTAAGGAAAAATCGGTATATTTCATATCAAATTTCCCAGTATTCATTTCTTCCTTCACCTTGAAATTATTGACACGCATTAATATATATCGTATACTTTAATACTATATATATGATTATGTTTTGAATTAACAATTTTTTTTCTATTTATGATCAAACAAAAGAAATTTTTTATATATTATATTTTATCGGTCTAAAAATCGTGATTCTTGCCGCCACAACGGTTTGAAATGAGCATTGCCATGATTGAATGTACAGCGTGTGGCCCCCATGGCCATATACGTCCCCATTTTCAAGAAATTGGGCTGATAAAATGTAAATTGTATAGGTCCCCGGATCCTTGTGGTATGTCACCCAGAAGCTGTCTAAACGTGTCAATCAGGCAATTGTGCCCCTTCACCGAAGCAGAACCATTGGTGGTTTGCATCTTCGCTTTCCAAATCAATGCATAAGAAAGCTCTGAAGGTTCGAGGTTGGACCATTGCAATGCTTTGCGCATACGGCG